GTTGGTATGAGGCTTCAGCCTATCCCCACACAACAATAGGCTTCTGTCTGAGTGATAAGAATGTGTTTAGCGTGGGTATACACTATCTCTGCTCCCTGCTACTTCCTCTGTAGCTCGTTTGCATCACGTCTCACTTGCCGGTTAAAAAGAAACATGTTTGCATGTGGAATGGGACTAGGACAGAGGATACGGCACGTCTGTGAAGTTCAGAGATATTTATCAGAGAGATGAGAGCGAGCTGCAGCACTGCACTCACATAATTAGCCAACTGGATGAAAAGAGGGTTTTTGATATAAAATAGAGTTCTTATAACAAGCTATGATACACAGATAATTCAAAAACTGGAGTTTGTTTTTAAAGGGAATACAGTGCATACTAAATTGCCTGTCATGCTCATCTGTGTCAAATATTTGCTTGGGTGTGTAACTGTGAACCAGTTTTTTCTCAGTTCTGTTTTCACCCTTTTAAAGACTTTTTATTACCTTTAAAACAAGTTCACTTGGGTAAAGGAAAATGTTTACCTTAGCCTTCAAATGGCTGCATGCTCCTCCTACATTACTTTTTAAGGCAAACTAATGTATATGCTGTTGGCTCTTAAACCTCATGCAGAATAATGTTTTACTTTATGTCCATGACTGGCCTGTTATATAGGACAAACTGCATACTCTAACCATAACTCGCACCTTCACTCCAGTTCTTTCTTGGAACAGAGAAGTGGTTCAACTTGATTTAGTTACAATCTTTATTCTTTTCACAATACAAAGAGAAGCTTTTTCTCACTTCACAGAGAGAGAGTGTGTGTGTGTGTGTGTGTGTGTGTGTCAATTCTTTGTACTAAACTGGAACGCAAGGTAGCCAGTCAAATAGGCCAGTATCACAGATGCTATAATGAATCTGAATCTTTTCAGTAAGATAACCATACTTATATAATTACATTCAAATGTCACATCAGTATTCAGTCCATAACGGCCCTAATATAATTGACCAATCTGGGTGTGTATGTTTTGTTTGGAGCTAAAGGCAGAACATCTAACCTAGCCCAGGCTAAAAAGCATGGGGAGGGGCACCCGGTTAGCTCAGTTGGTAGAGCTGGCGACCCATGTACCGAGGCTGATGCCTTGCTGCAGCGGCCCAGGGTTCGAGTCTGACTTGCGGCCCTTTGCTGCGTGTCATCCCCTCTCTCTCTGCCCTCCTTTCTTGTCTACCTTCAGCTGTCTCTCAATTAAAGGCAATAAAAAAGCCCCAAAAAATACGTTAAAAAAATAAAAATAAAAAAGCCATGGGGAGAACGGGTAGTCTGGCTCTCTCCAAAATCAATGTCAAAAATACAGTATGTCTACCCCCGGCCTGTAGCTTTAACACACAGAGAGTGGCATCAACCTTCAAATCTAACTCTCAGAAAGAAAGCAGGAATTTCCCTAAAATGTTGAACTACTGCTAATCACCATGAATGCCACATAGCTTTCATGTTGACTGTTACTTCTCAGGGTCAGTGTTGGGACACAAGCTGGGGAAGGTGGGGCTAATCCCAAACACGGGACAAAGCTGAGCTGGCTGTGTCTGTGGTGGGAAAGGGGAAACAGGTTCACACAAGCACACATACACACCTGCTGGTATGTTGACTACAGCACCTGTTACACTTACATTTCCCACAAGTTCTGCCAAACTTACACTGTATTTGACTGACTAACTTAAAAAAAAAAAAAATGCTACTTTGGCATAATTTTTGCTACAATTACAACAAACCACTAGATAACCTTCTACTGGAAGTGACATTTTTAATTTAAAATCACTACTTTCAAACAATCAGTAACATTGTCTTCAGTATAAGCAGCAAGAAGTGAGGTGAAGCAAATCCGATCTCGATCACAAACTTGTGACCTAAACGTATACGTCTAATCACATTAGTATAACCATTATTCACAGTCTAGCATTGCTGCGATGGAGACTCACACAGATCCTGGCTGTCTGTGAGTTGGTTGCAGGTCTGAACTGTGATGTTAGCCAAACAGACGTTCCACTATTTGAGATTTGAGTCCCATCTGAAGATCACTAGTCATCATACAGATGACTGATTAGCCTCACATTCCTCTCATTCCTTATGGGGGGGAAACAGTTTAAAACTTCACTTGCAATCTTGCTGCAAGTCAGTTTTCATGTTCAACCTACTCATGTTCAGGATGCTGTTATCAAAAGTGTAAAATGAGATTTACATTTTTTGCTGTGGTCTTTGGAGTGGAACTGGTCAGGAGGCAGAGGCCCGCAGCGTGTCACCAATTATACAGAAATCAGACTGAATACATTTAGACGGAATCAGACAGATTTATTAATAAGTCCTGAAGTATAAACCGTCCTGAATAAGTTTGGCTTTATAAAGAAAATTACAAAATTTCACTACTCTGCTTCCCTGCAATCTAAAAAACCTCCTAATTTCATAATTTCACATCCTGTCTGGAGACAAATACCGTTTAAGTGGTCATTCTGCTGAATACATACATACATACATACACACATACACACATACACACATACACACACCTTCCACTAAGACCACCCCAGCTCAGAGTCCATGTGCAGAAAAGAGCTACTGGTGCTGTGCTGGTGGGATTTAAAGAGCTTCCACATGAAGAGCATTTTCCACAGCCACAGCAGCCACAATTGATGATGACACGCAGACATTTGTGGACAACACTTGTTCTCATAATAAAAGAACAGTCTGACCAAAAAGGAAATGGTTAAGCTGTTATCACATGACCTAAGTAAGAGATTTCAATCACGTGATAACACATGTGGGGTGGCGTGAAAGTGACCATGACCAAATGGCCATACAAGGTCACACAAGTTCAAGAGTTCAAGAGAAAAATGTTTAAAATGTTCCTGATGTGATTCTTAAAAAATCTGATCAACCAAATGCATAGAGCTGAAACTATTAAACTTCTTTGATAATCTATTGATTGTTTTTACAGGAAAAACTGAAACTGAAAAAAATTCTCTGGTTCCAGCTTCCTAAATGTCAGGGTTTTATGCTTTTCTCTGTCTCATATGATAGTATGTTAAAGATCTTTGGATTTTAAACTGTTACTTGGACAAAATAAGCAATATGAATAGGTCACCTTGTGCTCCGGAAAAATTGTGATCCGCATTTTTCACTACTTTCTGCCATTTTAGAGAAAAACAATTAACTGCTTCAATGAGAAATAATGCAAATAATTGTTAGTTGCAGCTCTAAAAAGTCTTATCAACGTCTGTTAACAAGCTTATATCCAGTTACCTTACAGACAAACACACAAACAAGGTGTAAAAAATAACCTCCCTGGAGGTGAGTAATAAATCAGACAGACTATTCCCCAACTATTCCCCCCACAGAGAGAGAGAGCGAAAACCTGAATAACAGTTTTAGTCATTCATGTTTGACCTCTTTTCTCCCCAAAAAACTAGCCTCAGTTCAGTTCAGTTTACATCAGCTGACTGGGAACAACATTGATTTACCAGGTGGAAGAGAACACCTGTGAAGGAATGACACTGACAAGATGGCGAGCCATGAAACATTGATGATGTTTTCTGGTAACTCAGCACCGCCGACATTCTGTCTCCACCACAATGGACGTCTGAGTTCAAAGCTCATTAGGGCAAAGCAGGGCCTGGAAGGTGAATCAGGGACAGTGTGAAATCTATAGAGAATCTGTAGAGATGCTAGTGTACACACTAGGTCTAGGTAAGGGATCGCCAAAAGCATCATTGGGGTTAACAAGGCCTTGTTGAATTTAGAGGACGTAAGAAAACTTTAGAAAAATATACACAGTAGGCTTATATCTCTGCATTTCATTCATTTATGTGAAGAAAATGAAGTTATTTTCATAGATTAGATTAAAACTCTGAAGACCTGAACACAAGCTATATTCACAGAGCTTTCACTCTGCAAGACAGCCTCGTCCAGCATTAGAAAAGTATGCAGTTAAAACAACCAAAAAGCTAACAGAACAGTGGCCAAGCATCAGGGAGAATAAATAGATAAATAATAAATGTATAAAAATAAATAATGCAGATAGAGACATGTATAAAAAAGTTCCTGAAATGTCAGGAAAACTAATCTCTGGTGCAAAATTCACAGCAAATAATCTGCTCAAAATTCAGAAATGACTGGTTTTACAGAAACGTCCTGCAGTTATTGTGTACACTGTTTGGGTTCATTGTGCAGTTTATCAGCTGTTCTGTACTCTTATTGTTATGCATTGAATATAATATGAAATATCCATTATATATGTCACTTACTCAGAGGGTCACTAGTTTACTCACTGGTGGAAAAGGGGTCTTGGACCACAGTTCTAGGTCTTCTGGCAGAAAAACTGCTGCAATCCAAGAGCTCAGTCAACAATCTTTAATAAAGTCCCACAGGAGTAAAAGCAGATGTGTGTATCCAACATGAATAGACAATTATCAGTTTGTGAAGTTGAAGGCTGCTCAGACTTGTGTGTGTGTGTGTGTGCAATAACTTTGCCAGGAGCTATCAACAACAGCACGTGGATATAACATGTTTTAAGGAATGACGCTGTGAGCACTGCCAGTTACTGCAATATTATGAAACCAGATACATTTGAAAACATGTTATTAAGCAGTGACTGGTTTATTGGTTGAGGTTGCAAAACAGTGACCTATGCTTAGATATAGGGTGGGTCTGCTTTGTCTCTATGGTGAGGACACAACACAGCAGGAAAGTACTCACGCAGCTGAGTTTTTCACTTCTTTAACTTTGCAAGGATGAAAAACTAGTATTCTTTACACCGGGAGTTCCCAGCAAACCCAGAAAACATCTCTGGTTTTCCCCACTTTGGAGATACCCAACCCTTCCACCACCCACCCGCACATGTCAATCACAGACAACTGTCACAGAAAGCAAAACACACACATGCACCAACAAACGCCAGAAAACCTCACTGCCACGTTAACAGCTGTAAACGCGAGAATATGTTGGCGTTTCTTTCTTTCTCCTTCCTTCTTACCGTCGGACGGACGCGGATCCTCCGGTTTGGACGGAAAGTGCGCACAGCGGTGTGAGCGGCGTCGATCGGCGGTTCTAACACATACAATCATGATGTTGCTCTCAGGAAGAATCACAGTCACTTTTAGGGTACGGCTCCATTGTGTCCCCCCCCCCCCTCTTCCTTCCTTCCTTCCTTTTTTCATAGCAATACGCGGAGGTATTATATGTGGAACCAAGCTACTTAACCTGGTCCGCAGCGCGCACGCACACACACACACACGTACACACACATAGGTGAAACCGCACTAATCCTCATTTGAACGCTCCTCCCACTGAGCCTCAGCAGGCCCACATACACGGGTGTTGTTGCATGTCGTTAAATGTAAAATAGAGCTTTGATAAAGTTATAAGTGGCGGCCATGCTTGTATATAAGCGAAATAAGTGCCATTTATTAGAGTAGTGTTTAATTTGTATACCTAGAGTTAAGGTTTACATGCAGCCTGGGTTTGTTTGGTCTCCAGAAGCACCACTCTTCTCCATGGAAACAATATTTTACAGGGATCCAGATGAGAATTGCACAATATTAAATCTGCATTACAAGCTCTACTGGTTCTACTGGTTTTGGGGTCAGTTATAAACTCGTCATATAGGTTACCTTAACAAGACATGACCAAAATAAGAGATGAGATCATTTGAAAAAGACCAAGACTTGTATGTCGCCTCCTGTTGGACAAAAGGCTGAGATACAAGGACGTGAGGAAAAGGAGCTACATGACAAATTAATACTCATTTCAAAGAATCAATTTCAAACTCATTTGAAACAAAAAAATGAACTTAAGATGCTTATTTTGTCCATGTTGAAATGAAATTCTCTTTTAAACTGTTTCACATTCCTTCTTCAATTCACTGGTTCTGTAGGAATCCCTTTTATAATGTAGTTTTTAGCATCTCTAAATCCACACAGTGTTCCCATCTGTAGCTCCAGTGGGATCATGATTATTGTTATTTTCAGCATGAAATTATACTGTAGAGTTATGACAGTGAAGGCAGAACCTGTATTTATGCTTGATTGACGATTACATTTTGCCCAAGTCACAATTTCAACAATTAGAATCAAATTTATCTAAATTATATGGTGGTGATTACTAAACTGAAAACCTTGGACCTGACTCAAATCAAAGACACATTTACTCAAATCAAAGACACATTTATTTTTTGTTTTAGCCAGGTTTTGAAGATGAGCAGGTCTGTAGCGACATCTAGTGGAGGAGCAGTTGAATTTCACTTTTTTCCACAGATGTAATGAACTAATGGAGGAAGTACTCACATCTTTTCCTTAAGTCAAAGTAACAACAGCACAGTGTAGATATACAAATGTTACCGTCCTGCATTCAAAATATTAATAAAGTAAAAGTACTCATAATGCAGAATAATGTATATTATATTGTTGGATTATAAATAGTAACATGTTACCTTTACTTTATTGTTGCAGGTGGCAAAAGTGGGGCTGATTTCTATTACTTTACAGTAATCTATAAGTTAGTCGAGTAGAAAGTACAATATTTCTCTCTGACATGTAATGGAGTAAACGTACCATAATAGGAGAGTGTCTCAAAATTGTACAATATTTGAGTAAATGTACTTAGTTAACTCCACCACTGAAGATGACTCAACAGATTATTTCATGTATTTAACAAATACAAATAACAACTGAATATTTTCTTCCATTTTGAGTTTCAACCATGGGTTGATGGAATATCCTGCTGCCATACCAGTGTTGGGCAGTAACTCATTACTAGTAATAATATTACTTTCCCTAGTAACTAGTAGTGTGAGTCAGTAATAATATTACCAAAAAAATTGGTTACAACATTGTTTTTGTTGTCTCCTCCCACTAATCTGAAAACCAAAAATCAAATCACATCCTTGAAAAAGATTTTGTATTCATGGAATTATTCACATTACTTTGATTTTAATAAACAAGTCTGGATTTTGCAGACAATGGACACCAATATTGCCAACTTTTTGGGGGAAAGAAACACTACTACTTTTGAAAAGAGTCATGCGTTTTACATTACATGTTTTAATAACTAGCCCAGTACTGAACCATGCATACCCACCCACAGTTGTTCCCTGTCGGGGTCCTGACAGTGAGGGGCACCACCTCCACCCTCCGCAGAGCCTCTGTGGGCAGGACGAACTGAGTCCTCCAGTGGAGAGGACAGTAACACATGTTTATCGACCGTGTAGACAGATGAGCTAGCCACATTTCTAGTAAACGATCCCTCGTGTATTTTGTTTGTTGTTTTTTAATTTTTTAGTTTTTCTATATTGTTTTAAATCTCGATGGCTGAAGAAGCCCGACATGAGGAGGAGGGAGAGGGCAGAGATCTGCGGGGCAACAGAAGCCAAACAGCAGGTACGTTTGCTGACAGTCCTCTGGTAGTCAGCTGGATAGTTTCCTGAGTCAACCAACTTGGTTTTAAAATGTGTACTCAGTTTATCATTGCATGCATTTATTTTGATCAAAGTTACATCGTCGTTGTGTGGTAATTCAATCTGAGTGCAGATTATCTCACCAGAATAATTCAAATCTTTTTAAAGATCCTTACATGTAAATACGTTTGACACCTCTGGGACTCCTTCAGTGGCTGTGATACACAAAACTCCTCCACAGTATGAAGCAGTGAGGCTGTTGTTTTGGTTCCTCCTGGGGAAGTAAACTAAAAAGTTCAATACAAAAATACAGTTTGCTTTCATTCAGTTAAATTGCTAAAAGTATGCAATGATGGATTTCTCAGTAAGTGACATTTGTGTGCCTGTAACAGTTGAGAGTAAGGGTGAAAACCTGTCTGTCTCCTTATTACAGTAACATCATTCACATTTTCAGTCAGCCACTAATTGGTTATAGAAACTTCGGTCCTCACACCTCATGTGTGCAACGTGTGTCACCTGGAACTAAAAAGGAAACTCCTCTCTTGTTCATTTTAGTTTTGACTATCTTTCAGATTTGTCATGTCTGTGATTTAATGACTAAACATTAGCTTTCATTTTCACTCAGATGTTAGAGTTTCCCCTCTGTTATGGTCTATAAGAAGGTTCCCTGTCAATATAACAGTTTTCTTTGTTCCTTGTTTTTCTTAGCAACACCTGGTGTGCAAACCCCTGTGTGCCCTCAGCTATCAGCTCAGACCCCCCCCAATCGAAACCACACCCTGACCCCACCAGCTGTCTGGATGGGAATTTCTGACAGGCTGCTGTGTCATGAACAAGCTGCACTTGTCCGTTCTTGCAGTTTTCCATCCTTTTAGAATAATATTTTAACGTGATACATCATGACTGGTTTTCATTGGCCCACAGTATTATTATGGATCCACATTATCGACCTGTTTCAGGTAGTTTCCACTGTGAATCACTCGTCTACATTGACACCATCTAATCTTCTCTGACTAAAGGTCCACATCAGCATTGTGTTAGTCACTCATGACACCACATCCTGTCTTGTTTTTCAAGTGAGGGCAAATCTATTTAGTCCAGTCGTCTGTTAACAATAACAAAAATGTTGCGTTTGTCCCTGCATATTGAATGTGACACATTATGGCGTATAATTGAATCAACAAAGTTGCCCATGCCTGTTGGAAAATGCCACCTTTTAGCCAAAGTTGGATAAAGACAAAAGCGAAACTCTTCATCGGGCTTCACTATTATGAACGTCTGTCTGGTGTAGTGCGACACTAAGAGGCAGATTGTTTTTCTTTCTTTCCCTTTGTTGCCATCCGTTTCACCAGCTGCTCTGTGACTGCTGCTGCTGTGCTGAGTAATGTCAGCATGTGTTCAAGTGAGAGTGCGGCTGTGAAGGGAATCCTTTCCTGCTGACTTCAGCAGTGTTTGTCCTTTCAGGTGTCAGTGGCCCACAAATACCAAGGGATATATGCTGATTAGAAATAGAGTCAACCAATCAGTGGGGCTCGTCAAGTTACCTGGTAGGGATTTCCATTGTCTCAAATTTCTTAAGTGAGTTTAGTACAGTTTGAACAGTCAAGGGGGGGACTACAGCTGTTCCTTCAAATAAGCTGCATCTTCAGTCGTCAGTTTGTTGTTTCACCTCTTTGGACCTGACTAAAATATGTCAACAGCTGTTGGATGGATTGCTTTGAAATTTAATATAGATATCCACAATCCACAGGGGATGAATACTGATCAGTTTGGTGATTGTCTTGCACCACCATCACTATAGACATCACCAAACTAAGGACAAATGTGCTTAAGTAAAACCTCACAGAGCTGCTAGCATGGCTTTAGACTTAGTCTTGTTTGCATGGATTCTATATAGCATGGATAACTCTATGTCATGAGCCATTTTATTGTAATTTTATATTTTTATAGATGTAACAACCGATTAAGAATTTCGGCTTTGTCTATATGAACTGTCCTGTAATGTTTGATTCATATTTTTACGAACACACTGATACCAGATGAAAGCAA